GCAAAGTTTAGATATGACTCATTTCTAGATTTTCCCCAAAACATGGGTAAACAGGGTCCCTGCTACTCAGTGTATTACTTGGTTTAGGGCAGCTATTTATTTTTATGAGCACAGAAATTGTCAAAGATTTTAAAGACTTACCAACACATGATAAGATGTATAGAAAAAATATAATACTTGAAGAACCCTGGGTTCAAATACCAACTTTGCTGAGCTTTCACTACCAATGTGCCCTTGGACAACTGGCTTAACTTCTCTTACTTCAGTTCCTCATTTATAATATAAAGGGCTTGGGCTATGTGGTCTACGAGATCCTATCCAACTCATGTCTGAGAATTCATGTAATTCTATATCTTGAATTCCTCACCCCTCTGTCAAGAGGTAGGCGAGGGAGTTTCTTTATCAGACTTTTAAAGTCAGGATTGTTTGCTGCTTTTATTGGAGTTCTGAGGTCTTGCGTAGTTGTTTCTCTTCATATTTTTGTAGTTGTCATATAAATTGCCCTCCTGATTCTGTTTGCTTCACTCTACATCATTTCATACAAGTCTATTTGTTCAGCCATTTCCCAAATGATGGCATCTATTTTTTCCAGTTCTTCTTTTCCATTACAAAAAAATATTTTTTATAAGTATTACTGTTCATATGTAGCCTTTCCCTCTCTCCTAGATCTCCTGGGTGCCTGATAGTAGCAGTAGTGGTGCTCTCAGAGAAGCATGCTCTTAAGCTAATCACTTCCAACCAGGCTGCCGACACTCAATATAGTAGCTTTTAAACTCTGAAACTCACAGGATGGCTGCTGGGTTTGGGAAAGTCCATTGCCCTCTGGCTTGTGCTCAGGAAAGAAATCTCTAGGAAAGAAAAAAGCAACAGGGAGTCAGGCTCACCTATAGAAACCCATGTTCCAACTGTCATGTTCTTTTGATAGCCATTGCTGAGGGCAAGTGAGAGAAATCCCTTTTCTCTATTTGCTGGAAGTCCAGGGTAAAAAGCTCTGGAAAAATTCCCAACAAAGAAAGTCCCAAATGAGAGTGATGGCACTGTTTCCCAGCTCAGTCAAATATGGTCTAATCATAGATTCACTAATGTAGGACTATCTGCTTCCTACTTCTGGACACTCTACGTCTCAGTACAAATTGAGATTGTAATAGAGAGATGTTCTTCTGATTCACAAGAGTATGTCTTCTTGACTCAGTGACCAATTATTTTTAATGCAGCTCCTGTCACTGGGAGCCAACCAAGACATCCCATCAAGGTGCCTGTTGCTCTGCAGAGAGCTAAATTGAATGTCTAGATACACTGGAGGGATTTCCAATGATCAACTTACAATTCATTTTAGTTAATTTTAGGAAGTACAGAGTTGGCTGAAGTGGGTTACCATCACAATAATTGAGGGCGTGGGACCTTTATCACATGAGGTCCAGATAAAAAATTGACTAGTGCACTACTGTCACATTAATCAACATTCCTCTTAAAGTAACTGACATGACATGTATAGACAACTTAAAAACATCATCCCTAGGAACATTTGATAATTGCTTTTTAGCACTACTTTTTTTCTGAAGATTTGCCACTGTCTGGTATGTCTGAAATACAGTCCATTCTCACTTCCAACTAGTGGCATACTTAGCTTCTTTCAAAAAAAAAAACCAGCTCAAGTTCTACCTTCTGTAGGAGGCTTTTCCAGATTTCTCCAAATGTTAGATGCTATTATTAGCTCCATTGTGCAGGTAAGGAAACTAAATCTGAGCAGACATAAGTGACTTACTCAGAGGTCCAAAGCTAGTAAGGCAGGATTTGAATCCAGATCTTTCTGTAAGTCCAACATTCTTTCCACTCAGATACCCTGCTTCCTGTGTGCCAGTGATCATGATGGGCTTCATTTTTTATACATTCTTGTTGTTGCATACGCTTGTGATTTTAGAGTGAAGTTAGTTTGATAGAATTCCAGCAGCAAATGGGAGACATTGCTAAGGTCTACTGGTCCCTCATGGGCATATGCGCCATGACACCACGACTTTTGTCTTAAACATAACTCGTGTCTGAGTGCAATTGCTGTAAAGAGACTAAATAGGTTAGCAGGTGATCAGGGATCACTGGGAAACAGTGACACATTTAGATCCCAGAGCATCAATGATGTGGGTGCTGAATGCTTCCTATCCATCAGAGGTAATCAGTATGTCTCTTTGTTTTGCTTAAATTTCTCTTCTAACCAAATAAATAGTTATCAAGTGCCTGCTCTATGTAAGACTCTGTTCTAGTGGTAATACAAAGGCAAAATAGAAACCAACCTCTGTCCTCAGAGAGCTTACATTCTTCTGGAGAGGTTTCTGTGGTGGCAGGCAGGTTATTGGGAAATGACAATAATGTAAAAATAAACATCAAGAATAAATCTTTTTTTTTTTGAAAAAAATGTAAAATACTCAGCTGATGGTTTTCTTAAGGTTGTGATTTTTTTCCTGCTTTTACTACACAAAATGAAATCAATTGGTCAACAAACATTTGATAAGCTCCTATTATGCCAAGAGTTGTTGTAAGTACTGGGGATGCAAGGAAGGGCAAAAAGACACTCCCTGTTCCTAAGAAGCTCACAATCTAGGGGAAAACAAGTTGTAAACAGCTACATATCAACAGGATATATGCAGAGTAAATCAGAGATAATCTTATAGGGAAGGAGCTAAAATTAAGGACGAGGAGAAAAGGATTCTTTTAGGAGAGGGAAATTGACTACAGGTAGAATATATAGTTTGATTGTCCAGATTGATCACAGTAAGGTATTATATTTTCTTTTCCTTTTTAATATTTTTCCTTTTGCATATGATCTTGATAAGCACCTATATTGAATTACTCCCTTTTTTAGACTATATTTGAGGAATATGATAATGAAAATCTTTTATTCATAAGTTTCCTTTTGATTTATTCACCTAAGCATCTTTGACTTCCTGCTATGTTTAGGACTATGTGCTCTTGGATATAAAAGAAGACTAAGATTAGACTTCTGTTCTTATAGTACATATAGTCTAATAAAGGACATAAGACATACAAGTAACTGTGATACAAGGTGAAATAAGAGAATTATAAAGTATTGGGGAAAAGGTAAAGAGAACAGAGGTTACTGGGGACATATAATTGATGTATCTTTAAAAAAGAATTGGAAATTGAAGGGATGCCTATCAATTGGGGAATGGCTGAACAAGTTGTGGTATATAATTGTGATGGAATACTATTGTACTGTAGGAAATTCTGAGTAAGATGCTTTCAGAAAAACCTGGGAAGACTTACATGAACTGATGCAAAGTGAAGTGTGAGCAGAGCTAAGAGAACATTGTATACAGTAATAGCAATATTGTATGATGGTCAACTGTGAATGACTTAGCTATTCTTAGCAATGCAAACATCAAAGAAATTCTGAAGGACCTATGATGAAAAATGCTATCTGCCTTCAGAGAAAGAACTGATGGAATCGAATGCAGATCAAAGCATATTGAGTTTTTTGCTTTCTCTATTTTTCTTGTATTTTTTGTCTGTATTTTCTTTCATTTGACTAATATGGAACTATGTTTTGCGTGACTGTAGATGTCTGACCTTTATCAAATTGTTTTCTCAATGAGGGGAAAGAGGGGAGGGAATATGGGAGAGAATTTGGAACTCAAAATTGTAAAAAAAAAAGTTTAAAAATTCTTTTTTACGTGTAATTGATAAAAATAAACTTCAAAAGAGACAAACAAAAAGAAACACAAGTTTTGAGGCCATGTGGCAGGGAGAATGGAGATAGGAGTTGAAGAAAAAGATTTTAGTTTTGTACATGTTGACTTTGAAGTGGACAATATTAATCCATTTCTCTAGCAGATATGTAGAAAATGAGGGTCTGGAGAATGAGGAAATGTTTGTAGCCAAAGCTAAGGATTTGGGTGTCACATGTACAGAGGTGATATATTTGGAACTATGGAACTAGATGAGATTAATGAGTAAGAAAATGGTAGATAGGCAAAAAAGGAGGGCCAATAACAGAACACTGGGAAATGTCACCTTGTAGGGATTAAGGAAGAGGAAGAAAAGACAAGGAAAGAAATAATAAGCGTGGCAAGGGATACAGGAGGAAAGCCATAAGGGTGCTATATCACAGACACAGAAGAAAGAGTTTCAAAGAAATGGTTAGCAGTATCAAATAAAGCAAAGAAGTTGCAGAAGGCTAATAGAATTTTGCATTTAGGAGGTCATTAATAACCTTTAAGAGAATTACTTCATTAGAAGCAGAGGAGAGACTTGGGTGGCAAAGGGTTAAAAAATTGGGTGGTGAGGAAATAGACTCTAAAAGATGAATGGTGAAGTAAAGAGGGGGAGGGAGGAAAGAGGGAGAGAAGACAGGGAAAGGAAGAGGGAACACAAATAGTAACCTAAGGAGTTGGCAGAGCCTAAAGTTTTTTGGTTTTTTTTGAATGACAGGAAAGACATCAGCATGTTTGTAGACAGAAAAGAAGCAGTGTAGGAGACATTCAAGGTAATAGAGACAGATGTAAGAGGTAACTAGGTAGTGCAGTGGATAGAGTTCTGGACCTGGAGTCAAGAAGATCCAAGTTTAAATTTAGCTTTACACTAGCTGTGCGACTCTGAGCAAATCACTAAACCTTTGTCTGCCTCAGTTTCCTCAACTGTAAAATGGAAATAATAAATAGTACCTATTTCACAGGGCTCTTGTGAGGATCGAATGGTATAATATTTGTAAGTGCTTTGTGAACTTCAAAATACTATATAAATACTAACATTATTGTTATTATTGAAGGGAGAACTAATGAAGCAAGGACCTAATGAAACCAATGAAAAGTTCGTAATGTAGCTAGCACTACAACTCTAGATTCTGTAAAAACTCTTCTATCATATATGTAGATGATGACAAGACTTGAAGAAGTAATGAATAATTTTATTTCTTGTAGTGTTCCTTTTGGGCATGTATGATTTTGGAAACTTGGGTTGACTGTGATTTTACTTTTTTATTTTTAAAGGTACTGGCGAGAGTGGGAAAAGCACCTTTATCAAGCAAATGAGGATTATTCATGGGTCTGGTTACTCGGATGAAGACAGAAAAGGCTTCACAAAACTGGTTTATCAAAATATATTTACCGCTATGCAAGCGATGATCAGAGCCATGGACACTTTACATATACAATATGTATCTGAGCAGAACAAGGTAAGCTGGATAAAAAGTGTTTGCCTTGCGAGCTAAGAGATAGATGTGTTTTAAATCTTTGGTTGCATATATTCCAAACATGGAGACTTACATTATTCTTATAATATTCTGGAAAAAAGTTCTCAAACATATGATGTTTTTATATACTCCGTGAGAGTATGGCAGCTTTGGCTCCCTTTTCTAGCTCTGATCATATGAATATAATTGGCTCTGCTAGGTTATTATTGTTAAGACTACAAGACAGGCAGTTATGCTTGGTGTGACTTAACTGAATTTTCCTAGACTACAGAATAACCAAACTCCTTGACTTGAACAGTTGTTCTGATTACAGTAAGCGTTGTCAGATGAGTGAGGTTTTGTGGATAAAAAGACTGTGTTCAAGAATTCTGATTCTTATAAAATGTTTGTTTATGCTATTGTTTCGTAGCACACATAGAACAAGTGATTGGGTTGTGTATGTATATAATTTGGGAATAGACAGCATACCTGTCCATGTTGTTCAGCCCATTCTGCTGAGCTCGTCAAGGGGCCCTTTTTGTAGGAAGGGAGCAAGAAGAGAGGACATCTCAGAATGAAGTGATAGTTTATTATAATTATATTGATGCCTTAGCTAGCAATACCCTATAATAAAATAATGTCATCTAGTCAGAATTGCTTTCTTATCATTAGCAGTTATTTAAAATATAAATCTATTTTAGACAACAGGAAAAAATAGTGGTGCAGGTACCAGGTAAAGGTACTACAAAATTTTAGAGTACATTAGCAAAAAAAACCCAAAAAACAGAAAAACAAGCTCATGGGGAGGTGATGTGAGATGCCAGCTTCCTTGAGAATCTAGAAGTCAGATTTATTTAAATTGAGAGGGACTTGACTATGACGATCTCTTCCAAAGAGGGTATTTGTTAATACAGTGGATAGAGTGCTAGACTTATAGTCAGGAAGGCCTGAATTCAAATTCTGCTGTAGTCTCTTAATATCTTTGTGACCCTGGATGAATCATTTGTCCTCCTTAAGCCTCAGTTTCCTCACTGCAAGATAGGGAAAATAGTATCACCCACCTCACACAGGGTTGTTGTTAGGATCAAATGATATAATACTTGTAAAGTCCTTTACAAGCCTTAAAGTACAGTATAAATACTAGGTATTTTGTCATTAATTCTGTATTAAAAGAATTTAGCTTGAATTCAATCCAAGAGATTTTAGTTATTGACTAAAGGATCTCATTATAGGATAGGTACCTATAGAATAGATCCTGAGACATCATTAAGGTCCCTGGGCTTCACTGTAAATATGCATTTCTATTAAGCCTTAAAATAACATTACCTTTAGACATCAGACATCATATGTATCAAGACATTTGGGGGTTGCTTCTCCCTCCATTAAGAGCATCTTGTGTCAATCTGTTGTAACTGGAATGGTCTTAGAATGCTTTGACCTGGAGGTTTTATTTCAAGATGAAGTTGTGGTCTCTTTTAAAGAAAATAAGTAGAAGCCCACCATTGTATAACACAACATGACTTTGTGAATGGTAAAGAGATTCAGGAGTCAAAAACTCTAAATTTTCTATACCAGGCCCCTTCTTAGTACTCTGAGTTTCTAGGAAGGATTTATGTGGTTTGGTCTTCCACAATTTTCTGAGCTCTAAATTTTTCATTGACCCCTGCTTCTGATGTCTTCAGTCGGTTGCATCTTCCTTCTTTCTCTCTGTCTCTTACCAAACATCTTGCATACTTGTATGTTTTCTTCCATTCCATATCAAATGTGAAGAACCCTCTCCTTTTACTCATCTCAAGATATATGTTTGCTCTAAATGCATGCTACAACATTTATGAAAAAGAATATCCTGGAAAGAGCACTGGACTAGAAATCAGGACACTGATTTCTAATTGAGACTCTATGACTAACTAACCATGCGACACTGGAAGATTCTCTTTGTCTCCTTAACTAGATGGGGCAGTGGATGGAGCTTGGACCTAGTGTTAGGAAGAACTGTGTTCAAATACTGCCGCAGACACTTATGAGCTGTGAGACCATGGGCAAGTCGTTCAACTTCTGTGTGTCTGTTTTCTTACTTGTAAAATCAAGATAATAATATCACCTACCCCTCCTAAGGTTACTGTGCGGTTCAAATGGGATATTTGTAAAGCATCTACCACAGTACCTGGTATATAGTACGTGCTCAATAAATTCCTTCCCCTCCCCATTTCTCCTTCATCCCTACCTCCCTCCATTCCTTCTTCTATTCCATTCTTTCCTTACCTGCCCTTGTTCCTCTTCTCTTCCTCCATAGTCATATTCCTTATATGTAAAAAGGGGGTAACTCTTCCCTTGTCTACTTTACTAGGTTTCTGTGGGACTCAAATGAAATTGTGTATGTAAAAATGCTTAGGATAACATAAAGTGCTATAAAAAGACAAGGAGGTATTATTATGGTTATTTGATATTAAATAATAGAAAAGAAAGTTTACTAAATGCCACCTTAACCTTCATGCCTCTCTTATGTTATGTTGATAAAGTTCATTTTTCAAACACAACTGAAAAACTTGATATTTCTGCCTATAAAAATCTCATCTTATTTATTTTTGTCCATTGTTCTAGCCTGTTAAGATACTTTTGGATCCAGACTCGCTATCATCTTATGTATTAGCTATTCCTTCATGTTCTCAGGTATAACACCTATGTCGTTCTCCAAATCATTGATAAAAAATGTTGTATAGCACTTATCCAAGCACAGATCACGTAGGTACTTCATTAGTGACCTCCTTCCAAGAGATCATCAACCCATTAATGACTTTTTAGGTCTAGCCATTCAGTAAATTTCAAATCCACCTAACTATAGACCATATCCCCATCAAATCCATAAATATAGCATGAAAAATTATCAAATAATTTGCTGCAATCTAAATGTGTTTGGTCTACAAAATTGCCCTCATCTACCAGTTGTTACTTTATCAAAAAAAAAGAGTTAGTCTAGTATGACTTCCTGATGATGTTATTTTGGCTTTTAGTGATCACTGCTTTCCTTTCTAAATGTTCACACTCTCCCTTTTAATCATGTGTTTTGGAATCTTGCCAGAAAATGAATGAAATCTATTTGGAGCAGGGAACTGAAGAATGAGTAAGAATTGGACAGTTGGAGTTGAGAACAACCTGGAGGTGAACCAAAGGTGGAGAATGAGGACAGCATAAGATTAACAAATGCAGTGATGTAAATAAGGATAGGGAGGCTAGAGGATGGTATGAAAACTTGCCTGATTGAAGAGTCTAAATCAGAGAGCTGTGGGAAACTGAGATTGGTGACCTAAGAAAATTAGAGAGGGGATATTGCTCATGTAGAAAATTTAGCAGATAAATTTGGCCTTGATGGAGTAAAGAGTAAGGCATAAAAAGAGCATCATTTGTAGAGGAATACTATGATAAAAAGACATGTGGTGATAGTAGAATGGAAGTAGGGGGAATGTATACAAAAGGTTAAATCTTAGAGATGGATTGAAGGAGGAAACAATAGGTTTAGGAGACATTGTGTTCAAGGAAGGAAGAAAAGGGAAGAAGCATATTTAAGATTTTCAGGCTGATTTTCTTAAAAAAATGGTAGCACTAACTTCTAAGGTGGAGATACTTTGTTAGAAGGTTGGAAATGTGGCTTTAGATTACAGTTGGGAGTCAGAGCAAGAGGCTATGGAAAGTCATTAGCACAAATGTTACATTTGAAACTCTTGAGTATACAAGGTCTCCTAGGGAGTGAATGGGGAGAGAGGAGTAGTACTCATACTCTACCAGAACTTTCTCCTAATGGCCTTTCTTCTCCACTGAAGTCTCTTGACTCTTTAAACCATTTAAAAGACAGAACTCTGTCTAAGAATAAGGATAAACCAGGGGTTTTGATTTTCAGGTTATAATAATAAATATGTATGCATATATATTATAATATATGTAATACATAATAATAATGGGATAATAAATTGAGGAAATAGGCTCTTCTTTCTGTGGCTTTAGGAATGAGATACTTATCTCAAAAAATAGGACAGGTTTTATTATGAATATATTATTAACTGATTTTTATAACAAGAAACACAAAAGGGAGAGGGACCTGGACAGACTACTGAGAAATTTCATTTGGGATACCTATCTCATCCCATTGCTGTGAAGTGGGCAGCAAGAGCTTAATAACCAGCTGGATTGGGGTGAGTGTTTATAAGGTCTAATTGGAGATTCATTAAATTAATCCTTAATCAGAAATTCCAGAGTAGGTATAGGAAGTGTGGGGGAAAGGGAGCCAAGATGCCAAACTGAGGGAATAGATAAAAACAAATGCCAAGATATAAACCAGGTTATAAGTAAGGTGACTCAAATAATGCACTTTGGATTACATGAAAGAGCCAGGATAGAAGTCAGTACTCTTCCAATCAAGAATCATTTGAGAGGTGCAGAGGATAAGAAACTCAGGATCAGTACTTAGGAAGGAAAAATGCTGGTTACCCACAATTTGTGCTCCAGCAAAAGTTCCTTTTACCAGAGAGCCCTACTCTGTCTTAGCCCCACTATCTTTAATCTAATAGCAAGTGGAAATTTGGGAATTGGCTGCTAAGTAGTACAGTAGATAGAGTGCTGGGCCTGGAATCAGGAAGACTTATCTTCCTGAGCTCAAATCCAGCCTCAGACACTTACTAGCTATGTGACCCTGGGTAAGTCACTTAACCCTATTTGCCTCAGTTTCCTCATCTGTAAAAAATAAGCTGGAGAAGGAAATGGCAAACCATTCCAGTATCTCTGCCAAGAAAACCCCAAAATGGGGTCATGAAGAGTTGGACGTGACTGAAACAACTCATCAACAGCAAAAACTAGATCCAGTTCTCCTATCCCAATCTTAACTTTATTTCTGGATGTATTTAAGGGGATGGGGGAAAGGTTTACAAGGAGAATAAATAGTGTTTTCCTTATTTAATAACAGACTCTAAAATACTGTCTTTGGCAAGTTAACTGAGAAGTTGAACTTCTGG